ACGTTGGATTCCATGCCTGGCACCACGGTCAATTCCCAAGGCTCGCCCCCTTCGGTCAACGAATGCCGACTGCCCGTTCTACGATGTGACGAAATTCAGACATCAAGCAACACTTCCCGTTCCCCCGGACGGCGTTGAGTTCGTATCTTGGTAATAAGACGGGCATCGACCCTATCCGCCCGTTGCCGTGTACTAGGTAGTTTCGCGGGAACAGTAGTATGAAGTGAAACGCATTGCCCTCTATCTTTCGTTTCTGGCACTAATCTATGACAGAGAAAATGCAACATCCTAGGTCACCTTACGTATCTTTTTGCTGAAAAGTTAGCAGAGATGCTGTGGCCATGTCAGACGTCGTCCTACCTACCCACCCCCACACCTCCTCCAGGCTGCGAGACTCGCCTCTTCTCTCCCCCCTCCATCCCATAACGGGGTCATGCACACGGCTAGCTGCCGCAATTGTTGGATAGCAAAAGTCTGCGCTTTCTAGAATACCCAAAGTCTCCGACGACTTAGAGCTGCAGCTATCTACGCCAGCTCGTCATTCAGACTACCATCGACACCCTTCAATTCCGATGATCTGCATTGAGAAAGAGCGGTGGGATTTCAGTGCAACGCTTCTCACGCCACAACAATGGTCTCCGTTCAACATGATCAAAAGCTCAAATCTTGGGCGACTTTGACATTGCCAATCACTTAAAGATCTCAAGTCAATTGTGCCGAAGCTAACTGCGGTGGCCCCTGGTTGCGGTCATCCAAGCTATTCAGACACCGTGCATTTTGCATCGTCTAGCGTGGCCACAAGCCTATCTTTGGGGCCACGGCGGCCATCCCCTGACGTCTTTGAATAGCATCGAATTGGTACAGTTTCACCACGCCTTCCACTTGACTGGGAATAAGGAGGCATCCAGGCCCGACACGGACCGTGCTACTGCCCAAAGTTCCACAGACCTCTCCGCCTCCGGTATCCAACGTGCCTAACGCCTGTCGATTAACCGCTGACATTCGACTGCGACTTGGCCAGCTGTGGGGAAGCTGGCCGAATTCACAGCCAGCGGGATGTGTGCCATTCCATTAAGCGGTCCTGTTCCGCAAGAGCAGCTTCGGCAAGCCTTTACCGCGTCACAGACTTTGAAAACTCAGGTCCGACTAGAGAGCGTGCTTGAGAGGACAGTCCAAGCTCCGGGTCGGACAGGCCAGCCGCGTATGGCTGCTCCGGCCGGGGAGCAATGCAGCTGCCGCACGACCACAACAGAAATATGGATGGCTGGGCGAGCCTCATCCGGTCTCTGCGTAGGTGAAACCGCGCAAGCCAAACCTGAGCGAGAAGAAGCCGATGCCGAGCAAGGCGACCAAAAGAATAGCCCCTCCCTGCAGAGGTTCAGAGATGACTCCTCTGACGACCAACAGGCCACTGATGGCGCTAAAGATGATAGGATTGATGAGCCAAGTGCTATACTCGGCGGCCTTCACCCCCGGTACGCGGCCGTCTCTTCTACGGAGAAGTATGAGGCCAACGGCCGAGGAGAAGAAGATCATATACGCCGCCAAACCTGGACTATGTGTTAGGTGATAATTCTGTGCGATTGCTTTCCAAACGGAGAGGCTCACCGATAAAAGTAACGAGCCCATTGAAGCTTCCGACACCTACATATACGATTGACAAGGCACAGTTCAACATAAGGGGGAGCAGTGGCACGTTTCTCCTCCACCGACGATTCTGGGTCCAGGACAAGAAGCCCTTGATAGGTCCTCGGATCAGTCTCGGCGTAGACGAAAGATATCCGTCGACACACGCAGCCTCGTCTTTTTCGTGGCTACAGTGCAGATTTGCCAGGATCGCAGGGAAATATCCCCTCTGACTGGCAACAACGACGAGCTTGGCGGTCGCAAAGACGTTGGAGTTCAAAGCACCCATTGCCGAAATGGACACTATCACGCAAAAGAGAAGCCCAGCCCAAGTTCCAAGGATCCTGTTGGCGAACTCCTATTCTCGAGTCAGCCTTACAAAACTGTTCCATCCGGCTCGCTTGTAATGCTTACCACTGCGACGGTGCTGCTTGTCCGCATGACGCTCATGGGTAGGCAGACATACAGAGCCGCATTCATCAGCATGAAGCCGATGATCACCACAATCATGGAGCCATTAATCACGAGGGGCAGATCTCTCCTTGGATTTTTCATATCTCCCAAGACAAAGCCAACCTGCCGGGTTATCAGTTCCCATCCACTGCCAAAGTGAGCGAGCAGTCAAACTCACCATTTCCCAGCCGGCATAACACCAGAGAGCTCCAAACGTTGCCGTTCCAAAATCACCGAGCCACTCCCAAAGACTGATTTCTCGCTGCTCAGGAGCCTGGCCAAACCATCCATACTCGGATGAGGGGACACCCTCTCCGTGACCGAAGGCCCAGACGCCGCAACCAAGGACGATGATGATAGTCAGAGCCGTCATCTTTAAAAAGAGAAACAAGTTGGCCGCTTTTGCGCCCGCGGTCGCACCCAGGCAATTAACCAGTGTCATGGTCACGATGCAGCTCGCCGCCACCACCTTTGATACCCAAGGCGGCAGCGTCTCTTGGTCGGCCACAAAGGCCTCAGTCAGATAATCCGCGAAAATTGTCGCAATCATTGAGTTCGCCGCGGGCTTGATGATGGTGCACCAGACCCAGGTGAACAAGAACCCGGCGAACTCGCCGTAGCAGGCCCGCAGGTATTCCTGGATGCCGCCATTATTGGGGATGCGTAACCCAAGTTCGATGAAGGAGGCGGCGCCCGTCCAGACGAGAAGACCGCCAAAAAGCCAGGCCAAGAGGCCGTATCCTGGAGCAGTGACAAATTGGCTAATTTGCGAGGGTACGCTGAAGATCCCCGAGCCGATTTGTAGGCTGATAACGATTGCGAGGCCGTTGAAGAGGGTGAGCTTACGTGACGCCGACGCCGCCGACGCTGCCGGGGAAGTATCGCGGGATCTTGCTGTTGCCGGGGGCCGTTGGAGAAACGGCGAGGTTTCGTCGGTGCGGAGGTCCGCCATTATCGGAGGAGCTGACTTTGAGTTTGCTCAGCTTAGAGCCGAGGGGCGTTAAGTCTTACAAACGACCTTTGAAATCCATGCAAGGTGAGTGGTGGGATCCGAGAAGTGTTTGAGTTCACTCCTTTCTCAGTCTCGTAAACAGCGTTTTACGAATTCATGAGAAAAAACATATAAGGGGAGGTAAGTCGAGTCTAAAAGTAGACCAGCTCGGGTATAAAGTAATCGGTTCGGATGCCGACTGTGAGGAAAAGGGTTCGTTCGATTGCGACACTGGACGCGTAGCGTTTTACCTTATCTCTGGAGCAGTTGACAGGGATCTTTGCGCCCTGTCTGGGGTCTGATAGCATGATTCCGGATAGCCTTTGGCAATCTGCATCTAATCAGATCCGGCTGCTCTTCATCCTCATCACTGGTGGGAAAGATAGTGGACTATTTCCTGTTTCCTGTGAGCTGTGCGCACAATGATTCTGAGAGGCTTCCAAAGGCTTGATTCGCGAGTTGTAACGTACTAACCTACAGGCAACTTCATACGAACTGAGAGACGGTGACCATTGGCGCTTGACTACCGGTTGGAACAGGCTTAGAGGAAGGGAGCCAGAGAGAAAGATTATAATCAGTAATATCGGGGGGTAGCTCAACAACAACAAATACCACATCAGCCCTGATGGTCTAGCGGTATGATTCTCCCTTAGGGTCTTTCTGACACGTCTGGGAGAGGTCCCAGGTTCGAATCCTGGTTAGGGCCCAACTCTTTTGCATTTTGGCTAAGATTGTCAGGATGGACTTGCTTGTGACTGATACTTCTGCTGAAACTTCTCTTTGGCGTTGCATGGGCTTGGTTGAGCGTGGGCGTCAGTAAAGAGGTATTTGCGGCCACCCGCTTGCACTTACACCGATATGTATGAACTCATCTACTAGATGTGTGCAACCCACTCACTATGCATACAATACATCAAGGGAAAAGATGCAGCTGGCCAAGAATTGTATCCAGAAGCTTAGCCGCTGCAGCTATGTTACTAAAACAGCTTTTGTATGTGTTTTTGGGGCTATGTGCAGGGGAATATGGCCTGTCTACAGAGCATGACACTGTAGTTTGACAATATTCTTACTTCCACTTGGCATAGGCATCTTAGGTCAGTCATTTCATTTTGATATGTATATATTCTGGCCAAACATAACGTTGAGTTGTCTGAGCTTTGGAGCATCAGACTTGTCAAAGAACATCAACGAATCGAAACGTTGCCGAACACTGACAGACGCTCGAGAAACAGAGCTTTTGTTGCTGGAAATGGAGGCAAAGTGTTTGCGGTGTACTCAGCATCAACCCCCTGGTATGCACCAGGACTATTTTCAACTCTGAACGCCAAACCGAGACGCATTGAACTTAATCTCATATATGATGAGATTGAAATTGTTGGGTCAACTGGCATCGACGTAGGTTATAAAAGTTGGCCAAGTGCCCAGCGCACTCCAAGGATGCGGTAAAGCGGGCTTTACGATCTGGAGAGACCCGTTGACCCGAGTCCCGCCGCCCGTCCACACCGTCCTCCGGCATTCCATGGCGAAGGTGAAAGGTGGGGCAGTTACCGTGCCAGAGCAATTTGAGGAGGCACTGTGCCTCCGGTGCCTCACGTGATTCAAGCCGGGCTTCGCTAACAGGTACCTGGGTACCTGGGTACCTAGGGTCTCCGCCGCCCACACCGATTTTTTTTCTCACATTGTCGTGTGAAATTGATCGCGAAGCCAAAGTGCAAACTTCAACCCCGTCACTAACCAGCAGCCACTGAAGCCCACCGTTGACCCAGGTAAGCTCAATTTTCTTTGCTCCCCGGCTCTCTACGAAATAATCCGAATTCTCCATTTTCAAGCAAGGCGTCCCGGCAAATTTCAATTCTTTTCTTGCCCTCCATTATCATCAACTAACCATTTGTGCTTTTCTCTTTTCACAGGTCAATCAACGATCAACACAATGGCTTCGAGACCTACCGTCACCATCATCGGCAAGGATGGCAAGTCCTCCGGCAACACTCACACCCTGCCGGCTGTCTTCCTGAGCCCTATCCGTCCCGATATCGTCCAGGAGGTTCACAAGGGTCTGGCCAAGAACAAGCGCCAGCCCTACTCCGTCAGCGAGAAGGCCGGTCACCAGACCTCTGCCGAGTCTTGGGGAACTGGTTAGTCGACACCTATCCGGAGCGAGAGCGTCACGAGGGGAGGATCTTCGAATTTTCAGCTGGAGTGGTGGAACCGAAAATTCGACGGGGAAGGAAAGGCAATCGGGACCTCGAGACAGACATCTAGGAAGGGGGGTTCGATACAACCTGCCACGAGGTGGATGTCCGAGGTCCCGAAGTGAAAACTTTCTCGACGAATTGGAGGATCCCCGACCGACTGAGAAGAGAGAGGACTTGACCGAAGACGTCACTCTGAGAGGGGAATAATTGTGCTGACAGAAACACCACAGGTCGCGCTGTTGCCCGTATCCCCCGTGTCTCCGGTGGTGGTACTCACCGTGCCGGTCAGGCCGCCTTCGGTAACATGTGCCGTTCCGGTCGCATGTTCGCCCCTACCAAGACCTGGCGCAAGTGGCACGTCAAGGTCTCCCAGGGCCAGAGGTGAGATTTTTTCTTCCTCTCCAGATTCTTTACCACCCCCACTGCGGGGATCGTGAAGATCGAGCGAAAATCGCGGCGTTTCTAACAGGCATAAACTACAGACGTTACGCTACCGTTTCCGCCATCGCCGCCTCCGGCGTTGCCCCCCTCCTCCAGGCCCGCGGTCACCAGGTCTCCAACGTCCCTGAGGTCCCCCTGGTCGTCGACTCTGCTCTCTTTGAGAACGCCGCTGTCGCCCGCACCTCCGCCGCCGTCTCTCTCCTGAAGACCGTCGGTGCCTCCGACGACGTCGAGAAGGTCAAGAAGTCCAAGAAGCTCCGCGCCGGTAAGGGTAAGCTTCGTGGCCGCCGCCACCGCCAGCGCCGCGGCCCCTTGGTCATCTACGACCCCGAGGTCGACGGCAAGGAGCTCGTCACCGCGTTCCGCAACGTCCCCGGTGTCGAGACCTCCCCCGTCACCGCCCTCAACCTCCTCCAGCTCGCCCCCGGTGGCCACCTCGGCCGCTTCGTCGTCTGGACCTCCGCCGCCTTCAAGTCCCTGGACACCATCTACGGCACCACCACCCAGCCCTCCGCCCTCAAGAAGGACTTCCTCCTTCCCTCTAACATCGTCTCCCAGAGCGACCTGACCCGTCTGATCAACAGCTCGGAAACCCAGTCCGCCCTCAACGAGCCCAAGGGTTACGCCGTCACCCGCCGCTCCGCGGTCCAGAAGAAGAACCCCCTCAAGAACAAGCAGGTCATGCTTCGCCTGAACCCCTACGCCTCGGTATTCGCCAAGGAGGCTGCCCAGAAGAAATAAACAATTTCTTACCTGGGACGGGTGTTCTGACGACGGTGGTGGAATGCAGGTTTCTGAAACGGACGGGGCTACATTTTAGCATGGTTTGTGCTTGAGGCGTAATGGCAACTAGGAAATGTTGACCTCAATTCATCAATGGACAAATGATTCCCTTGAATTCACAAAACAAAAGTCTTGGTGTACTTTGGTCTGCCCCTGGACCGTGACGACTCTATTCCACGTGATTATGACCTTTTCTTGTTTTTGTATTTTCTCTCTATTACGTAGTGACTGTAAGGTAGCTACAAAAAGTTCTCTAAACTCTATGGTGCATATCATATGTGAGCTATAACACACGTACTCTTGCATACCACAAGGATGGTTTGGTTCATCAGATTCGTTACACGTTCGTACTTGCAAGATGTATCCAAGGGGTCCTCAACATCCCATCAAACTACCCAGATTGCCAAACCCCTCAAGCCCCTCCTCATCTTCACCCTGAAACATGAAAAAGTCCCCAAGTAAATCTTCCACCTCCTCCACCTTCTTGATCCTCCAGAACCTCTGAATCGCATCCGCCAGCCTCTGCGCGCACAAGTCCACATTCTCCTCCGTCTCAGCCGCGAAACACAACCGGAAGTAAGCCCACCCCCTCTCCGCCCGGATCGCCGGCGTAGCACTAAAGATGAGCCCGGGGCTCACGAGCACGCGGTACGGCTTCTTGGTCGCAAAGAACATGAGCGCCGTCGAAAGCCTCTCCCCGTCGAGCAGCGGGATCCGCTCACCGCCCGTCGCCATCCACAGCGGGTGCGTCTCGAGCCGCAGCTTGAGCCAGATGAACATGCCGCCGCGCGGCCACGCGAACTCGTAGAGCTGCGTCTTGCTCACGACGCCCCAGTCGGCGTCGTCGGCGCTGCGCGGGGTCGACTGCTTGAGCTGGATAGACCCTTCGTCGAGGATGGTGCACATGCGGTTCATGCGACGCTCGTAGACGCCGCGGAGGCCGGCGAGCCAGCGGACCCAGCCGTCCATCTTCCAGCCCTCGAAGGTCTGCTTCTGGCGCGAGGTGAGGGCGGCGAAGGCGGAGCGGGCGGCGGGGGGTTGGTCGCCCATGATGAGCTCTGCTACGGTGGACTGCACGAAGCCTGAGGGTTGCTGGGTGGTGACTTCGGTGATTCTGGAGAGACACGGTCACGTTAGTTTCGATGGTGTTTGAGTGACACGTTGAGGTTGGATAGATAGATGGTGCATACCTCAGCAAGCGCTCAATGATGGCCGGCTGCGCCGTGATCCAGCCCATGCGGCATCCCGGCGCGATGGTCTTGGAGAAAGTGTCGAGGCGAATGACCCTGCCGTCCGTGTCGATGCTGAGGAACGAAGGGGTCAAGGAATCCAGGAACTGGTAGCCGGAAGACTTGGTGGGCTTGTAAGTCGGAGGAGAGGGACAAACCTCCAGGCCGCGCGACTTTGCTTCCTCGACGACCGCGGAGGGGTACTGCAGGTACCAGTACGGGTCGTCTTCCACAATGATGATGTCGTACTTGCTGGCGATGGCGTAAATCTCCTTACGGCGTTCCACAGACAAGATACCGCTGGTCGGGTTGTGACCCATTCTAGAAGCATCCCATGCCACGTGTTAGCCATGTGTGCCGTCTCACCTCTCAGAGCAACGATCCTCCTCCAAAACGGGACAAAGCGAGAGAGAACAGAACAAACTCACGTCACGGTGTAGATGAAATGCGGCCTCTTGCCATTCTTCTCATCCCACCCAGCCAAAACCTCCTCCAACCCGCCAGGTCCGTTGGCAATCATGCCGCCGTCGTCCATCTCGACCGGCACGACCTGGATGCCCCGCGGCAGCGCCTGCGACAGGACCTGGCTGTACACAAAGACCTCGCACAGCATACCAGGCCGCTCCGCGGCAGCGTCCTTCGCGGGGCTCCACGGGTTCGTGATGAGCTCCAGCGTCTTGGAGAAGCCGTCGGTCGCGCCGCAGCTGAGAATCACCTCGGGTCCGCCGAGGTACGGCACGTCCGGGTGCAGGTGGTCCCGCGTGAACTGGCGGATGAAGGACCGGAGGGGCGGGTATCCCTCTGCCGTGCCGTACTGCAGCGCCGTGGCGACGTCGATGCGGCGGAGCGGGTCGCGGTCGTCGTCGGTGCCGGGGACGGTGACGTGCCGGGAGGCCTTGACATCTTTTTCCTTGTCCTGGCCCGCGACGGCGGCGGCGGCGGTGCCCCGGATCGGGAGGGTGGTGGTGTTGCCGGTGGTGCCATCATCGGGGATCGGAGACGGTTCCCATCGTTCGGGCTTCGCGGCCTGTGCCTCGAGGGTGTCGAACGGGAACAGGCTCGAATGCGGCAGGCCTATAATCGGGGTTCCGAAAAAGTGTCAGCGATTCATGCTTTGTCCGGGGTACCAAGGTTTGGCCGAGATCGGGATTGCGAATATCATTGGAGCGTTGACGCGCGATCCCGCATGTATACGTGATGAGCACGCAACGCAAGGTGCACATTACGGCATATATTGCGGCATCCTTCCCGTCTCACTACAAGACGGGTAGGACAGATCGCGGCAGCCCAAATCTATCTCATTGATGCCGTGCAACCTTCAAGGTGAAGCAACATAAGAGAGTGGTAACGAAAAGGAAAAAAGTGCTGTTGTGAGACTCAAGTAAAGAAAAGAGAAAATCCAAGGGGTGAAATTGTGGTTTTCGGGTTTCTCTTACTAACCTCCAGCTAGGTTCCCAATGCCAGGAATCTCAAAGTACTTGTAATACTCCTTCATCTTGCTGGGCTCACGCCTCTTCGTGACCTCGGAGAAGTGGTGCTCCAGGCTCAAGGGCGCCTTCTTGGACGAGCTGTCTATGGTAGCTGCCGACATGGTGATTGACGTTGGTATGGCGATACAATCGATGGTGACGGGTATGATGGTGATGCTGCTAGCTGTCGCGTGCCTCGGCGGAGATAAGGTCTATACGATACCGTGGACGAATTGCGCTGGACAACTCAATGTTTGATAGTTGAGTTCTGTAATGTGAAGGGCGGTATACCAAAGTCTCAAGAGCCACCAACAAGACTATGAATCAAAAGCCAAGGAGGGAAGATGCGAACGGACTTTGAAAGATAAGAAGTGTTGGGAAGTAGGTAGGCAAAAGATACCGAGAGAGAGCAAGCAACCGAATGAATGACAGTTCCGTGTCCGCCGTACCCCAGTCCACCACTACCCCCCCCCCCCCCCGGACGGCCCCTCAACCCCCGGGATTACAAATCGTCATCCATCTTTCCAACGTGGAGTTTTGTGTGTGTGAGTGAGTGCCCCGATAAGGAAGCTCAAGAACTACTTGTTGATAAGGCCAAGCCAAGAGAGCGCCCCGACTCGCCCGGTGGCTCTCCGCGGTGAGTGAGTGGGTAGGGGGGTACGTATCCATAAGGTCCAGTAGTCCGTATTGGCGGGTGCGGACTTTCTAGACGGTGAACCACACAAAACGGGAAGAAGGAGTGTGGCGGCCAAGCGAGTTCGGACTATCACCGATGCTTTGGTAAGTTGGCGTTTGGCGTCTGGGAGGCTTGGGACAAGGGTCTGGGCTAGCGAGCCGGGTCGACCCCGGCCTTCCACGCGCGGCAAACTACCATTTCTCCCGATCTCCCGAAACTCTGCGTCTGAAAGTTCATGTTTCCCTCAACGTCGCGTGCATGTCACTACAAAGTCTAAAAAGACGCAAATTGAACTCCCATCAAAACCATAAACCTGAACAAAGACAATCTGATTATCGTGAAGCTGTATCTTGCTTCAACATCGAGAGCTCTAACCAGCTAATGTGTAGGAGAGCTTCGATGCTAGACGGCCGTACAAATACAATAAGGAATCGTCATCTCTAACCATCCATTTTTTTCCTGCTCTCCCTCCAAACAATCATGCATGGGCTTCATGACCTCCAGATCCCTCGATCCTCTTTCGCATCCCAAGAACGCCTTGCTTAAATCATACAACGGGGTAACCTCCTGAGACATATGCGTCCGCGTAATCCACAAGTCTCCTGCTTCCTCTCCATCCTCTTAACAAGTCTTCTTACAAGTACGGCATCCACAGCGCATCGCATTGCGCCAAGTTCATGGGGTTGACTGCCTTGGCGACGAGGTCAATGACCGTCTGGTTGGCAGGCAAGTTGCCGACGGGGCTCTGTGCCAGGCTCACGGCCCGCTTGACCACTGAGTCGCTGTTCACTTGCACCGATTCGCGGAGCTGGTTCTCCGTCATTTGCACCGTCCGGTGGGAGCTCGTGAACCAGAAAATCATTTCATCGCGCACGAAGAGCGTAAGGGCGTGCTCCAGCTCGTACTCGGGCTCTGTGAGGCATCGTGCGATGGCCATAAGAGCACAGCTGAAGATGCCCTCTGTCGCCAGTGGGCCCATGAGCGTCTGGAGGTTGGGAGTCAGACGGAATGGCACCGGCTCCGGGTTGTGGAAGAAGGGCTTCGCAGCGCTCATGTACGCCATGAGCTCCGAGCCCCAGATATTTCCAGATCCACGAGCAATGTTGATCTTCTGCGGGTAACGGTTGTGCATGTACAGAATGTACGTCATAAAAGTGAGTGACGCAAGCTGGTATGAGAACTGTCTGCGGAACAGCCAGAACTCGGTAAAGTCGGGGAAGGCCTTCTGGAAGTAGTCCAGGGCCAAGTTTTGTGGCACCCACTTCTCCTGGATGGCATGGAACACCTCCAGACGGGCGGTTGCGCTTTGCTCAGCATGCTTCTGTGAAAAATTGTTAGGTTTTGTCATTCGCTCTCTGATGGGACTACTTACCGAATTCTTCGTGTCAAGTACGCCGCGTAGCTTCTCCATGGTAAATAACACAGGATCGTCCTTGGACATGCCGTGGCGTCTGCAGTGGTCCTCATATACGCTCTGGAGGGTGATGTATGAGGTGTCTTCCTGCACAATGCGGATGTGAGGTGCAAGAGGAACCATCAATGGCAGAGTGAACTGAAGGTCTCGGCGGCGACTCTCCTTTCTTC